ATCTTGAGTTAGACGAGGATCGCCTCTTGGCGGCGAAACCAGAAACCGACATCTATTATGCTGGTTCTAGCTCACATGGGGCTTCGAGCTCCAAGCGCAAGCGCGTCGAAAGGTTTATGAAGTGGAAAGGCAAGGGAGCAAGTTCTTCGGGTAAGAAACCAAAATTTAATCAACATGACAAAGGAAAACGTTCTTTTGTTAAGAAGATGTCGAGGGTGAAATGCTACAACTGTAGCAAGAAGGGCCACTTCGCTCGCGATTGCGGCGAGCCAAAGAAGGTAAACTCCCCTTGCATTCTTGAGAACTTTGTCTATGTGTCAAGTTCTGTATTCTTAACTGAGTCTAATCCTTTGTGGACCGTAGATTCGGGAACAACAGACCATGTAGCGAAGGATAGAGAAGCCTTCGTAGAATTCCGACGAGTTCCAACGGGAACTAAATGGATTTATGTAGGGAACAATTCCAGAGCTAAGGTTAAAGGAATTGGCACCTGCCAGTTAATTATGCGTGGTGGACGCACTTTGTTCCTACATGATGTATTATATGCTCCGGAAATTCGTCGGAATTTAGTGTCTGTGTTAGTGTTGGTTAAACTTGGTTTTAATTTGAACTTCCATAACAATGGTGTAGACTTGTATTTAGGTACGAGTTATTATGGTTGTGGTTATTTTCTAGATGGTTTTATTGTTCTGGATGTTGATTCAGTAAATGTCAATGTTTGTTATTCCCACTTCACGTCTTCTACTTCGTGTGATAATGATGTGAACGTATGGCATGCTAGGCTTGGCCATATAGGCCAACAACGAATGAATAGATTAGCCAAAGAAGGCTTAATGGGTAATATTGAAAAAGTCGATTTGCCCACTTGTGAACACTGCCTAGCTGGGAAAACAACAAGGAAACCATTTGGAAAAGGAACAAGAGCTGAATTTTCTTTGCAATTAATCCATTCTGACATTTGTGGTCCAATGAATGTGAGGGCTAGACATAGGGCTGTTTATTTTATCACATTTATTGATGATTATACTCGATTCGGATATGTCTATTTGATTTCTCATAAATCTGAGGCTTTTAGTTGCTTCAAGATATTTATGAACTTGGTGGAAAATCAATTAGATAAGAAAATAAAAGTATTGATATCCGATCGAGGTCGAGAATATCTATCTGATGAGTTCAAAAATTTGTGTGATGAAAAGGGAATAGAAAGACAGTTGTCTATTCCCTATACTCCTCAACAAAATGGTGTTGCGGAAAGGAGAAATAGAACCCTACTAGAAATGGTTAGGTCCATGATGGCGCAGGCTAACTTACCAATCACCTTTTGGGGTGACGCTTTATTAACTGCTTCCTACATACTTAACCGTGTGCCTTCTAAATCAGTTATTTCCACTCCGTATGAGTTATGGACAAGTAGAAAACCCGTTTTGAGTTTTCTGAAACCTTGGGGTTGTGCCGCTTATACACATGAATCTTCTCATAAGTATGGGAAATTAGGTCCTAGAGGTAAGAAGAGTATCTTCATAAGGTATTCGGAAACCTCAAAAGGATATGTATTTATAGGTGAGCAAGAAAGTGGGAGTATAACTGAATTTGAATCACGAGATGTCACATTCTTAGAGAATGAGTTTCCTAAGAAGGGCGAAATAGGTGAGAACTACTCACTATTTGAAACCTTGGATCCTGATAGTGAAATCGATAAAGTTCGTCCAAGTGGAAGCAATGTGAGAAGTGAGGAATTGAATTCAACTCAATCTCAATTGCAACCTTTTGATGAGACGATTCCGTCATTATCTAATCCAAGTGGGAGCATAATGGAGAATGATATACCACGAGTACAATCTCCCATACGGCGAACAAGTCGCAAAAGTATTCCCCGACGACGTTTTGACATTGAAGGGGAAACTTTTATGATCGCTCCACAAAATGAAGACGAGCCAAGAAATGTAAATGAGGCTCTAAATTGCCCTAACAAAGAAAAATGGATGATTGCAATGAAAGAAGAAATAGAGTCAATGAAGTCAAACCATGTTTGGGAACTGGTTGATCTTCCAGAAGGACGCAAAGCTATTGGGAATAAATGGGTTCTCAAAATAAAACGCAAATCCGATGGCTCAATAGAAAGATATAAGGCTCGCCTAGTGGCGAAAGGGTATAATCAACAGGAAGGAATTGATTATGAAGAAACTTTTTCTCCTGTAGTGAGATTTACCTCAATTCGCCTTATTCTGGCAATAGTTACAAGCATGGATCTTGAATTACATCAAATGGATGTAAAGACTGCTTTTCTAAATGGAGCATTAGAAGAAGAAATTTACATGGAGCAACCAGTTGGCTTCGTTGTGAAAGGCCAAGAACAAAAAGTATGTCGACTTCTAAGATCGATATATGGCCTTAAGCAGTCTTCGAGACAATGGTATATACGTTTTCATAATGCCATAGTGGCGTTTGATTTTATAATGATTGATGAAGATCATTGCGTGTATATCAAAAGATCCAAAGATCAATTTGTGATTTTATCATTATATGTTAATGATATACTGATTGCCGGAAGCAATATGGAGTTGGTTAATACTATTAAGAGTTGGTTATCGTCCAATTTTGAGATGAAAGATATGGGTGAGGCTGCATATATTCTTGGAGTTAAGATTTCAAGAGATCGTTCCAAGAGATTATTGTCTCTTTCGCAAGAGACTTACATAAATAAAGTTCTTGAACGATTTTGTATGCAAGACTGTAAACCCATGGATACTCCTATTGTAAAAGGTGAAGGATTGAGCCATAGGTTGTGTCCTAAGACTCCACAAGAGAAGGAACAAATGAAACGTGTTCCTTATGCTAGTGCTATTGGAAGTTTAATGTACGCTATGATGTGTACAAGACCTGACATATGTTTTGCAGTTGGGATGGTAAGTAGGTACCAATCCAATCCAGGTCAAGCACATTGGAAAGCCGTAAAAAGAATCATGAGGTATCTAAAGGGTACTGCTAATTATTCACTGAGTTATCAAGGCAAGGATCTGCGACTTGAAGGCTACTCGAGATCTTGATTGGGGAGGAGATTTAGATGAAAGGAAATCTACCTCGGTTTTGTTTACTTACCGAATAATAGCGCCATATCTTGGAGCAAGAAGAAACAAACATGTATAGCATTGTCCACGATGGAAGCCGAGTTCGTGGCGTTGTCCTGGAGCAAGACAAGAAGGTGTTTGGCTTAAGAGATTTTTGGATCATTTAGGTGTTGCTAAGAATGCTGAAAACTCATTGTTAGTCAATAGTGATAGTCAAGCAGCGATAGCATACACCAAGGATTCGAAATATCATGGCAAGACCAAACATATAGATACCAAGTATAACTTTGTCAAGGATATGGTTGCACGAAAAGATGTGAACTTGCAGTACATATCTACGCATAGAATGATAGCAGATCCATATGACGAAGCCAATTCCAAGAGATGTTTTCTATGGTAATGTAAAATCTCGGGATTGCGTAGAAAGTGATGTACTGAATATTGTATTTTTTCCTGAGTGTTCACATTTAATGAAGTTGCTCTCTCATTATTAATGCCTATGAATTTATTTAATATTTATGCATCTCAATGCTTAGTGCATTATATCGAGAAAGTATGTCTGACAGATGAGATTAGCCCACTTACACGGGTAATCGCCTCTATTTACTGTGCGATAAATAGAGATGAGACAATTTTTAGGCTTATTATCTAGGTGATAATCGAGAGCTCAAGCTTAAAATAAAAATGTTGCCTTAGCTAAGTGCCAAGATGAGGACATAACATTTACTATGTCCGAAAGTAAAATAACCCACATATTTTACTTTATCTGTCTTTGATACCAGATGTGAGTTCTAATGGATTCTTTAGAGGAGTAGATACGTGAACTCAAGTTTAGACATTAGGTATGTCTGAACTATCATTTGTACGGTATTGAATGTAAAGACATACGCTCCACGGGAAAGGAGTTAATACCGTAATACGTATTTCATACTACGTATGCATAAGACGACCGATAAGAGTGGCAAAAGTTTTTTATCTCAACTTTATGCCGTGTGAGACTCTTGAGAATATGAGTTCCTCATTTAGTGCCCTCACGACTCTAACTTATTCTCAAAGTTTTTATTCAGTGTTCGCTATCTTAGGATGTTGCCAATGGTCATGAATGATTCAATCTAATGGGGCATTTCTAGAAAAGCGAGCTGGACTGAAATAGAGAGATTGAAGGAAAGAAGAAGATTAATTTATTATGATGTCACATTCTATGTTTATATTCACAGGTCGACCAATTATGATTTTAAGTAAATCATAGTTGTGAATACAATATACGAGATACTAAAAGAGATCAAAGGGGATATAAATGTGACTGATTGATCTAGGGGACTGCATACTATATATACTCGGAAAACGTTGTACCCAATTTTGAGCTGCTATGTATTCCTAACAGATGCATCGCAACGAGCTCTCGAAGTATGCTGGTCGCACGGATTATTTGCTAGTATGAATATTGCAAAGAAGAGAGAGTTAATGTTTAGCCCACCATGTGCGAGTGGGAGATGATGGATTTTCTTTGTGAAGATGGGCCGCCCATGATGGGCTAACCCAGCCCATAAAAGAAAATAACTGCACTTGGCAGTTATTGTCTAGAAACAAATAAGGTGAGAACACACGTAAGAATGTGTGTGTGGGTTGCATTTTTATGATCAGAAAACTCATTCTCACTAAAGGACAAAGAAGAAGGGGATTTGTTCAACAATTCAAGGATTGTTCTCTCTCAAGGCTGTGATAAGTGCATTTAATCTGTGGCAAAAGAGGTATGTTTGTTCATGTAATATACTTCAAACGATCGGTGATTCAAGTATGAAAATGGGCACGTTTTTCCGCAATTTTTGTATTATGTTTAGGAATCTGTTTCCTTCACAGAGTAATGTTGATGTAAAAGATAATTCAGTTATTGGGAGCCAAAGCCTTATTCTTCCCGGTTCTGTAGTCGAAAAGGATGTTATTCTCGGGGCCATTTCAGTTGCTCCAGTGAATTCAGTTCTCCAAAGCGGCGGTGTTTACATGGGGTCTCAATGTCCAGTTATGGTCAAAAACTCAATACACGCTTTGGATGACAGGATAGAGGAGATGGATCCGAGATATAAAAAGATAGTTGGCAATTTGGCTGCTAACTTGGCAGCGACGACTCTGAAGGTGAAATCGAGATACTTCCATCGTATCGGTGTTAGCAGGAAGGGATACTTGAAAAGCTATGACGAGATTCGAGGATTGCCAGAGCACAATGTCTTTGGCCCTGGAAAGAAGTATACTGTCATTGTCCGCCACAGCAATAGCTTGAGTGCCGATGACGATGCGAGGATAGATGCACGAGGAGCGGCACTAAGAATACTCTCGAGTGAAAAGGGGGACACTTCTCCACTTCTCGACTTCACTTTGAAGACAGGGAAGGCGTTCTATGCCCGCACAGTCTCCGATTTCGCAACCTGGCTGGTGTGTGGGCTTGCCGCGAGGGAGGAGCACATCAAGCGGGCCTCGCACGTGCGTGATGCAGTGTGGACCTCCATCTGTCAAGCTGACTCCTATGCGGATCTGCATTACTACTCGAATATCTGTAGGCTCTTCCGCTTTAAGGACGGACAGGAAATGTATGTGAAGTTCAAGCTGAGGCCCTCGGACGAAAATATTGGAGAAGATTTTGGTAAGGTGGAACCCTCGGGGATCCTTCCGCCTGAAACCGGTGCGATACCAAGGGACGCTAATGACACCCGCCCATTACTTTTCCTAGCTGAAGATTTCCAGAACCGTGTGAACTCTCCGAACGGGGTCCGTTACATATTCTGTCACACCCCAAACTCAACAAGAATAAAGACATAACACGGCCATCCTTTAACAAAAGGACGCAGCCTAAACATAACCAACACTCACATGATATCAAAATATATGCAACCACATATATACATGATATAAAGTTTATTTGGTTACAATATCAGAGTTAACTACAATCCACCAAAAAAAGCTAAGTACATTAAGCTCCACATCCATGTGTAACTCGTACCAAAAAGTCCCAACTATCAAAATGTTCTCCCCGACACCGGAACTCTCACGCCTACTAGCGTCTCGGTGAAGAACCTGAAAAACAAGTTAGATGAGAAGAATGAGCTACCACGGCTTAGTGAGTAATACATTTCTTCTAGGTAGATCGAGCACCTACTATGCACACAGTTGTAAGACCAAACGAAAACTCAAATAACCCAACATATAACCAACTCCAGGTTCAAAATACGTTATATACTACTTAAACATCACATTTTCACAATAGGAAAGCTCATTCCAATTAATAATATCAAAGAAGAAACCAATGGTCAAATCCATTGGCCAATCTCGTCGAAAAGCACACGCCAATGGTCCATTCCATTGGCCAATCTCATAGAAAAGCACACGCCAATGGTCTATTCCATCGGCCAATCTCATGCTCAGAAATCTAAGTATGATCACGGATAACGCCCCGTGAAAGGCGACCAAGATTCCCCCCTTGGCAAGGTCTCCACCTACTATAAGCCGGTGGCTCGGCCCACAAGGATATCCTAGACTAGTATGCGCATACCTACAACCCCTTATTTGGGTTCACAGAGACACTGAGCATCAAAATCCACAACCTCCCATACCAGCAAATCCAATCCACAATCAAAATCACCAATATCCAAAAATCATTTCGCAAACGGGTATATAACCCTTTAAAAATCACATTCAAACTCAAGAACTCCTCATAAGTCTTTCACAAAAGGTTTCACAAACCCTTTTTCATTCTATAAGTTCAAACCGAAACCAAAAGAAATCTTCTATTTCAAATACACAAAATGGCAGTAAATGCTCGATCCAGTTTTTATGCGAACAAAATGCCATTGCTTGTATGATAACATATCTAATACATATCATTTTCTAAACATGAGTTTACAAATTCAAAGAAGAAATAGTACCACTCAGCTTGAAAAGCTGAAAACTAACCTACAGCGGTTTCTCGAGCCGACACACTTGAATACCTAACAATAAGTCGAAAAACGGTATCAAAACCGAGTAAAATGTTACTTCAACTACGACTCGGCTCAACTAGGTTTAGATGCTAATATAACGACTAAAAGACGCCCTCAAAACGCTCGTCTAACGCGATTATCCAAAATCGCCCACAATACAACGCCTAAGCGCAAAACTTGATTGCGCCATAACTTTCTCCAGTAAACTCCAATCCAGGCAAGTTTATAGTCAAAAGAAAGCTTGTTCGGAGCACTACAGGAACCCCAACTTGGCAGCCCCAAAATCGAGCCGAAAACCGACGAAAATTGGCCTAAAAACCACTGTTCGCGTACTGTTCACTGCGCGCACTCAACTTCAAAAATTCATATCCAGCAAACCGTAAGTCCAAATCAGGCTCCGTAAAATACCACAGCTCCGCAACACTGTAAACTACCAATTCTATAAAAATACGCAGCTGAACGACTCAAAAATCAGACTTCGCCGCTCGAATTTCCCAAAATTCCGAATTTAAACCTTAAATCGGAAAACTTCTCCGATCAAACGAACGAGGGGCGCGAGTACTTACCGAGCGTTGCGATTCGAAGTCGAATCGGCTAGGCGAGGTCCGCGCGGCGCAAAATCCTCTTCTCTCCTCTTTTTCTTCTTCTTCTTCCCTTTCCTCTCCTTTCTCTTCTTTTCCGTTTCTGTTTTTCTCAGCCAAGGAGCTCTCGGCCTCCTTTTTAATTTGGCCGAGAGTCCACTGTAGCTTCTGTTGACTTGTTGACCCTTTTTTTTTTTTTTTTTTTTTTTTTTTAAGAACCCATATTTTACATATTCCAGCTTCAAGTCAGGCCAATTCCACAGGACGAAGCTGCGCGGGACATTGCTCTCGATTGCACGAAACCATGGGACGAAACGGAGTTTCCCTACACCGATGTCGGCGAGGTCATTATCAATGAAAATCTGACAAAAGAAGGCTCGGAAAGGCTAGAATTTAATCCATTCCTCCGATGCCACAAGGTGGATGTAATTCGGGCGACGTCAAGTAGTCATAGCGCCTCGATCGATCACGGGCGCTCACTAGTCTACAAGATCTGCCAGCACCTGAGAAATGGAGATCCTCTTCCTGAGGCATGGAGGGTCTTCCTGGAGCAGTCGGACGTGAAGGTCGACCTCTCCGGGTGTCCAATGGCGGCTTCACTCTAGAGAAAAGACACCAAGAAAGTGACCCTTTCGAGGCCCTGGTACTTAACCATATGGGCTGTTTTCGCTCAGCCGCTGCTGCAAACAATACTGCCCCACTTTCTCCTCGGACTAATCATCTACTTCCCCCTGAACTTGCTCCTCCACTTCAAGAACACCAGGAAGATGCCGGTCCACTGGACGTTCCCCTTCTTCTGGGTATCGGCTGGGGTCTTAGCTGCGTTGGCCTGCGTGGCGGCGAAGTACATCCTGGTGGGAAAGAAGAGAGAGGACGAAACCGTGCATATATGGAGCAAAGGAGTGTTCATGGATACCATATGGCAAGCCATCAGGACGGTGGTCGGGGACTACTTCGTGGAGATGACGACCGGGTCGGCGTTGTTCCTGATGTGGATGAAGCTGATGGGGTCGTACGTCGAGCTGGACAAGGGGACTTATGCGGATTCCATGGGAGCCGCGCCGAACCCCGAGACGGTGGAGGTCGAGGGAGGCGGGAGCGTGGGGGAGGAAGGCTCTGCTGTTCGGGCACGTGTACGACGGGGAAGGCGGGGCGGTGAAGTTCGGGAAGATCGTGGTCGGGGAGGGCGGGTTCGTCGGGAGCAGGGCGGTGGCCATGCCCGGAGTGGCGGTGGAGAGCAGAGGGAGCTTGAGCGCGCTCTCGCTGGCCATGAAGGGAGAGGTCATCAGATCAAGATGATGATCGAGTCAAGAGGAGTTGCGCAGGTTAGTTAGCCGGAAAAAACATGTGACCATATGATATCGGACATGTCGTTCATTAGTCTCGTGTAATAATAATCTCTACCTGTTTCCGCCGAATAAGCACGAGAACATAGGATATAGTTTATTAGCTCTCTCCACGTGAGAAATGTGGCACGGGAGATAGTATCCATAAATAAAAGTTTTCGTACCGAGATGAGAGTGCATTTGCACGATGTCGAGTTACTAAATTCAATCATAGATAAATTGACACATCGTGCGCAGAACTAGCTTAATCTAATGCCATCGTGCATGAGTTCTAATTAGCCACGATGCTTCGAAACCTCAAAAGGGACATCAATGCACGTCGCCTCGACATCGACTTCTAAATGTCCGAAGTTAGACGTGGATTTAATTTTCGATTTGTTGATTGTGGGGGTCCCAGGTTACTTTTTTTAGTTTTAAATTCTTTTTATTCTTTTTTGTTTTTTGGTGAACAACTTGGTGAGATTTTAATAATTTCTTTTCTCAAAGTTAGTAAGATTTTAATTGGGCTCTGCTGCCTAATTCCACCTCATTCTGTCGGCCTCGGTCTCCCTTGCGCCCATAAAAAGAAGAGACAAGGCGAATGTTCATAATTGGAGGAATAGAGGAAAATCATTTTTTTTTTTATATTTTAGTTGATACTACAAAAAATCTCAAAATTTAATATTTTATCTCAAATTTATCTTAAATTAATTTTTTTATCACTAAAAACTCTATTAGTTTCCGTTAAGTTTTGGACGACACGTGTACCTGTTTAGAGTTTTACTTTCTATTTATAATTTTTCGTGGCATTAATATAATTTAAAGAAAACTAACGGAAGGTAAATTTATTCTAAATATATTCGTTTGAGCTTTTTTGTGGCTAAATTTATCACAATTATACCGAGATTTTTGGTGATTTGAGATAAATTTGTCACCGGCTCGGAGGTATTTTCCTGTGCGGACAAGTCGGTGGAGGGGACCACCCCGGTAACACACGTTTGTCTTCCCGATTGGTTGGGGCTCACGCTGACGTGTAAGGACAGAGCGACCAAATATTTTCTCCATTGAAAACGACGACGACAAAAAGTTGACGAGATCCAGCAGAGCAAGAGGAAAAAGAAGAAACGGGCCGGGATCTGCGGAGGCACCAACCTCCTGGTTCTTTCGTTGGTGGTTCTCTTTTTTCCAACGGGGACCCACCCATCACCGATGCTGATCATTTCACAAGGCTTTCTTTTACCAGTAAAAGATCGAGACTTTGACCATGGGGAAGCGACTTCAGATGGATGATGTCGGGAGGGAGGAGGAAGGAGACTGACTTTGGGGTTTGAGAATTCCTGCGCTTTTGGATTCAGATCCACCAGATTCAGGAGGGCCGGAGCGGAGCAGAAGTAGAGATTTCCATGCTGATCTGACTGAGACAGAGAGAGAGAGAGAGAGAGAGAGAGAGAGAGAGAGAGCTAATCGAACCTCAAGCACTCCGATGATGATGATGATGATCATTAATTATTATTGAAGTGAAATGCGCCAAACGTTTATGTATCGGTACATGATTCGAGACTGTCGGAAAAGATTTGAAAGATTGCAGTTGCTGCTGGCTCGTGAATGAATCTGTAAGCCACAAGAAGAAGACCCTTTCACACGCTGGGAATGGACGCGTGCCCGTTGCAGTTCTTCAGTCCATTGACACGACCCTCCTCCCTCATCGACATTGCGGCGTCGATGAACTCGTCCAGTGCCCTCACGGACGACCCCCGGGTCCCCCTCTGAGCGGCGTCGGCGTCGGCGTCGTCGTCGGCGTCGTCGGCGTCGTCGTCGTCGTCGTCGTCGTCGTTGTCTCTCGTGGCGCTCTGTATCATGTCTCTCGCTTCCCTCGCCCTCCTCCTCATCTCCCTCCCTCTCTCCGTATCCTCCCCCATCACCATCTCGATCTTCGCCCTCAGCTCCTCCCCCCTCACCTCGCCGCTCCTCCCCCTCGCCACCTCCACGCACGACCCGATCCCGCCCCCCTCCAGCAGCCTCGCGTTGAAGAACTGCTCCGCCGCCATCGGCCACCCCAGCAGCGGCACCCCGTTGCTCAGCGCCTCCAGCACCGAGTTCCAGCCGCAGTGTGTCAGGAACGCCGCCACCGCCCCGTGCGCCAGTATGTCCGCCTGCGGCGCCCACCTCTCCACCAGCAGCCCCCTCCCTGCGGTCCTCCGCTCGAACCCCTCGGGCAGCCACGCCCCGGCGTCGAACTTGGCGTTTATGTCGTGCCCGACCGGCGGCCTCACCACCCATATGAAGTCGCGGCCGCTGGACTCCAGCGCGGTCGCCAGCTCCATCATGTGCGGGGCGGTGATGGTGTTCATGGAGCCGAACGACACGTAGAGCACTGACCTCGGAGGCTTCGTGTCCAGCCAAGCTATGCACTGTTCCGGGCTCGCGCCACCCCGCCTCGAAGGCGTCGTGGACCGGCGGCTTTTTGCGGGCAGGAGGACAGGCCCCACAGGCCAGACCTCCACGCCGAGCTTCCGCCGGAAGTAGGAGAGCCCGACGCCGTCGAACTCCGCCACCGTGTTGAAAAGGATTCCGTTCGAATCCACCCAGGCGGAGAGGTTCCGGGTCTGAAACTGCGACCACGGGTCGGTCCCGTCGGCCTCGAGGATGTTCAGCGGCACCTGCGAGACGTGGACCGGTGACCCTTCTTCAAAGTCCGGCAACGCGAACTCGACGGAATCCGGCTTCTTCCGGTGAGGCAGGTTGACCCAAAGGGAGTAGTAGCAGGCGAGGCCGAACCCGCTCGCGCCGCTGAAGACGGCGTGGAAGATGCCGAGCTCGCGGCACACGGTGGCGGTCCAGCCGAAGAAGATGTCCGCGATGACGCAGAGGGGCTTCCGGCCGCCGGCGACAAGGCCGAGGAGGAGGTCGCGGAAGGGATCTTGGAGAGAGGTGGAGGCGTGGAGGAGGCGGACGACGAGGGGGTAGGGGAGGGCGTCAGTGTTCTCGGCGTCCGGGGGGAGGCCGTGGTCGGAGGGGCGGAAGGGGAGGTCGACCAGGCGGATGGCGGCTGAGGGAGGGAGGGAGGAGCGGAGTTCGGCGATGTTGAGAGGGGTGCTGAGGAAGGTGATGGTGAGGTTGGGGAGGCGTCTGAGCTTGTTCTCGAGGTGAAGGGCGAGGGCGAGGAAGGGGATGATGTGGCCTTGAGCCATGAAGGGGAAGATGATGATGTTGGCTTGGCCTTCCTCCATTATCGTCGTCGGCGGTGGCGGCGGCGGCGGCGGAGACGGCCAATGATCAGTGGGAGCAAGGAGGAAGGAGGAGAAAAAGAATAGTATGGTTCTTTTTGTTCTCTTTTAAAGGAATTGTGAAACGTGAAGACATGACAGACTTTCCCCGTATTTAAAAGAGGGCAAAAGCTATAAAAAATTTTAAATTATGCCAATTATAACATATTTATTCTAAAATCTTTACGTGACACCAAAAATCTTAAATTTGTACGTGCGTAAATATTTATCCTTCGTAAAAGTTCTAATAATGAAAACTGTTAAAAATATGTTTATATGGACTTCAGAAAGTAAACGATGTTGACATAGCGCCCATGTGACTTAAGTGAAATAAAAACGATATTGTTTTGACTGAAAAATCATCTAAGGAAACTTTGACGGAAGGGTAAATATGTCACACAAGTACAAGTTTTGGGTTTTTTACATCACAAGAAAAAAAATTTAGGGTAAACGTGTAACGGTGGACATAGTTTAAGGTTCTTGATGTCACGAAAAAAAAAGTTCATGGTAAATGTATCGCAGTGAGTATAGTTTGAGGTTTTTTATGATTTTTTTTCCTTTAAAAAATGAAAACGAAAATTTTATTTCATGTTTTGTCATTTTTGTTTTGGTGTAGATTTTAGTTGAATTACTTACTATATTACCATGAAATTTACTTATGCTATGTGGCGGTAGATTTGGTATGGCTCTTAAGCCAACCAAAAAGCTCATATTTGAGCTTCACTCGACAAGGGTGCTTCTATCGGGTAAGTTTCCTAAATTTTGTCGCAATTTTTCTGAAATAATCTTAAGTTCGGTCACAAATATTTTCAGCAATTTAACTATGTGGTCCTATTTTAATTGCGGTCACCATAACTCATTTTCGCTTAACCAATAATTTACTTTTATGGACAGTAATTTGTCTATAGAGTCATAACCTAAAAAGGTTAAAATTTAGTAATTAACCAATAATAAAGTAGCATGGGTGTCACCAATACTTATTATTTTTCCTCAATGATCGTTACTTTCCTTGAAGCCCTTGTAAATGACGAGTCAGTGATCATCATTCAAATGTCATAATTTACCTACTAAATTATATGAATCATTACACGAGTTAACCTTATAATTAAATGCAATCTATATGAGATGCTAATCTATTATTATTTGTTTAATTGACCTTCTTCTTATTAACATGGACGAACAAAACTAACCCTAAGAACGTGTCATTACCGAATTGCATGCATTGAATACCCAATCTGGGCTAGTGAGGCCGGCGAGGGCATCTCGACCCTCGCCTATGGCCGGTCCAGGGAAAAAAAGACAAATTAAAGAAAAAAATTTAAAAAATCAAAATATTATTAAAAAAATGTCAACGTAGCACCGGCCATACCACTTAAGACGGTCGGTATCCATGTCAACGAGTTCTGGCTAAAATTGGTCAGATGGACTCAATTGGCAAAACATGAAAATGTTTTGGATTCAATTGGCACAAATGCAATAGGTTTATGATCTTTAGGTAATTTTCTCACCGAAAAGAATAGGTGTAAAATTTTCTTCTCGATTTTTTTGTTAGAATTCAAAGTATATTTAGGTTTTCAAAGTTATGAAAGAACTGTACGTGGAAATTTTGTAGATATCCCGTATTGAGAGTATTTCCTAAGGTTGAATTCCTAGCATTCTTAACTCTTAACACAAACCCGAGTTTAATGTAAGTTCTCTTTCCTATTCTTAATAACTTACTTGAATTATTGTAAGATTCTTTTACAATGTATGTCATAATTTTCCTTAATCAATACTAAGATTGATAATTTTATAATTAATAATTTCCTTGATACGTCTGTAAGTTCTTATTTTTCTAAAGTCATCCGGCCATCAAAATTTATTCTCTCAGTCTAACGACTCATATTGAATGGTTCCGGAATCGAATTCTTATTTGCTCTTAAGACTCTAAAAGTAAAAAATTAATAATAAAAAATAAAAAAGAATCATATTTATTTATTGGGGTAGGAAGAAGGATCATATTCTCTGGTCCCCCTTATTTTCAGACACGATTGACAATGAGTGTCATGAATGCAACTTTTGCAAAAAGCGATGATTTCCAAAATCTACCCAAAAGTCATGTGAACAAATGTACGTGTACCCTTCTAGAAGTCACGGGGGACAGTCCATGTGAATAAGTTGCTGTACTTTCTGGTTTTATGTCTACTTTTCGCACTCTAATCAATATTAGCGTCTAATATCGCCATGGGTTCTCTTTTCCTACGAAGGAACTTCATTTTATCGCGTCTTTTATTTGGTAGGTTGCAAATTATGGACATCATTCACGTGCAAATGCAATCGAATGTATGCCATGTTATCCTATTTCATGTTGGAGGGAATTTTCCTATGATCTGCGCTCTTGATTCGTGATTCGTCGCCCCAACATCACCCATACCCGAGTCTACTTTGGAGAAGCTCAATTTGAAAAAAAAAAAAAAAAAAAAAAAAACCTACGTACCTGTGACCCAAGTCTCTCTCCCTCTCTCCTCTTTTCCTTTCTTTGCTTTGCTCCTTTTGTAGCGGCGGTAGCAGACCCCCCCACCGTCGCCATCATCGTCCATCTCTCTTCTCTCTGCACACAGATGCGCACCTATCTCTATCGCTCCTCCCTCTCTGCGGCGTAAATCTAGGCAAAGACTGTCATCCACCAATGGCGGCCCTCGTCTACATCAGGGCCTTCGTCAATTTGGGCTACCCTCGACCAGATCGAGTCAGGTTAGCCCATGTCGGGGTAGCCCCAGCTGATTGACAACAACGCATGGAGGTCGACTATGTCATAAATGGAGCTTGGAGGCGGTGGTGGCCAATTCATCGACATTCTCATGCATCTACGTCCCAATATGATGACACGATGCAACACGACATAAAATACGAAAAAGATTATTTAGATAAACGCATGATATTATGTCAATGCACAAATGTGGCGAAGATTGATGACGATGGTGAATACAAATGAGTTAGGGCATTCTGATTTTAGATCGGAATTGACGGTCTGATGCTTAAGTTAGCCATCGCGGAAGAGTAACAAATAATAGAGGAACTTAGAAAAAGAAAACATGCTTAGATTGTACTTGAGAATGAGGAGACATGGCCTAGTTTCGGAGGAAGTTTCCAATTGGGCTATGCAGTAGCCTCGCGTCAATTTAAGAGAGGTTTCCTTAACCCGAAATGCAAAGAAAAATTATCCAAAAAATTCTAAACTTTTTGTATGGTGGTCAATTCAGTTTTTGTTATAAATGCATTGAATGATGTGGATGTTTCACTTTTCTCCATTCCATGAATAGTTCCCACTTTTAACGTAAATGATCATCTCCTCATTAATTGTGTACATGAACACATATATTAATGTACAATGTACCTACATTATTCACGGATCCTCTAGCCTATGAATAGAGGCATTTGTAAACTTGTTGAAGGGGAAATAAGAATTAAGATTTGTTCCTCACTTCTCTCTTATCTTTTCCTTTCTCTCATATTATACTTCTAAGTTGATTTCTAAATTAATTCCAAAGATCACCGTTTACGTTGATTTCTGAGTTGATTCCAAAGATTACCGTTTACTTTTACATCAGTTTTAAATTTTTTGATTATGTCAATTTAGTCATAAACCTTTTGACAATTTTTTAATTCAGTCTTAAACTTTTAAATTGTGTCAATTCAATCATAAACATTTTAAGGTTTTGCTAAGTTAGTCCTAAACATTTTAACGAATTGCCAATGTAGTCTTTCCGACTAATTTTGACCGGCAATCACCGAGTGGCAGTCCATTCAACGCCGGTCGTCCTATATGACGCAACTGGCAATGACGTAAATAATTTTTTTAAAAAACTTCTGATTTTTGTATTATTCTTTATTGATTTTTTATTCTTTTCTTTTCTTTCTTTTCTTTTTATTTTTTATTTTTTTCTCAATTTGTCGGCGGTGCTGCTGGCCATTGGCCGAGGGTCGGCGACCTTTGTCGGCCCTTGGGCGAGGGTTCGCCTAAATCCGGCAAACAGCCCTCGCCCTGGGGTTGGCACCTCCGTTGGCAACAATGAAGAAGAAAAAGAAAAGAAAAAAATTAATAAAAAATTCGAAAAACTGTTTCAAAAATAAATAAAAAAAATTGTCCATGTCAGTACCAGCCACCGCACGCAGAACGGTCAACACTAAATGGACCGCAACATTAGTAATTTCCAACCAAAATTAGTCAGAAGGATTACATTGGCAAATCGTCAAAAGGTTTATGACAAAATTGACAAATCGTCAGAAACTTTGGGACTAAATTGGCCCTCATATAATATGTTTAGGATTTTTTGGATAATTTTTCCTTGAAATTCAAAGATTTACTCGAATGGACCCCGGATAACATCGACTAGAGTTGTCGAGATTCAGATTGGGATCGGCGGGGCGACCGAATAAAGCCATCGGGGTGCTCCCTCAGGGATGTGCTACATAAAGCGGGCGGCGGCTTCAAATTAAAGAGAGAAACCCTAAGCGAGAGGGAGTGACGTTGGGGAATTTAGGTCATGTACTATACAATTTTTGCAACACTTACTATACAATTAAGTGGCCTCTTTTCTATCAAAAAAGAGTCACAAGAAATAAGAATATTCAAGTATTCCGGTGGTACAAATGTAAAAAAAGAAAAAGAAAAAAGCTCTGGTAGAGGATTTTCCAACTTCTTTAATAAAAATTCTTCGACCAAAAAAATTTTAAAAAAATAAAAAGTAAGAGATCGGGCATATATGGGGTCAAATCAAAAGCCAAGTTTTTTAATTTTTCATAAACATGACTTTTTCGAGCTAAGTATGCCCTAAAGCAGTTTCGTCTGAACTCTGGGACGTTAAACTCGAAAGTATTTCTTAGGGCGAGGGATGTAAAACTATCCTCTAATGTAAAATAAGGAACACAGTCGTGTCACCTCGTCAGGTGTATACTTCTTGATAGGCGAGGCCGCCTCAGTCGGAGGCGAAAGTTTTCTCTACTCTAGTGAGGTGCCCTCTCGGCAACAAAAGTTAGCGAG